AGTGCGTCACTGAGACCTGAGGTGGAGCTCCATATGGGTCCACGAAACGTGTGAGGGTCTGTGCCAAAACAGGGCGGCGCCGCCATGCGGACTGCAACACTGGGACCTGAGGTGGAGCTCCCTATGGGTCCACGAAGCGTGTGAGGGTCTGTGCCAAAACAGGGCGGCGCCGCCATGCGGACCTCGCCACTGGGACCTGAGGTGGAGCTCCCTATGGGGCCACGAAACGCGTGAGGGTCTGTGCCAAAACAGGGCGGCGCCGCCATGCGGACTGCAACACTGGGACCTGAGGTGGAGCTCCCTATGGGCCCACGAAACGTTTGAGGGTCTGTGCCAAAACAAGGCGGCGCCGCCATGCGGACCTCGCCACTGAGCTCCCTATGGGGCCACGAAACGTGTGAGGGTCTGTGCCGAAACAGGGCGGCGGCGCCATGCGGACCTCGCCACTGGAACCTGAGGTGGAGCTCCCCATGGGGCCACGAAACGTGTGAGGGGTGTGCCGAAATGGGGCGGCGGCGCCATGCGGACCTCGCCACTGGGACCTTGGGTGGAGCTCCATATGGAGCCACGAAACGTGCCAAAGTAAGGTGGTGAGGAGGAAGGGGAGGAGGAGGAGGCGGAGAAGGAGGAGGAGGAGGAGGAGGAGAGGAGAGGAGAGGAGAGGAGAGGAGAGGAGAGGAGAGGAGAGGAAAGAGAGGAGAGGAGAGGAGAGGAGAGGAGAGGAGGAACGCGGGGACCGTCTCTTCAAAACGAAGACCCAGCACCACAGGATGGTTGGGAAAAAACGATTCGGGATGAGAAACTGGTCCGGGGAAAGGGCTCGAGACCTTTGGGGGGTCGACGTTATGAAAAACATGACGTCGGAGGTCTGGGCTCTCGCGCGGCGCGAGGTGCGAGGCGGCGTGGCCTGGGGTCCGTGGCCCACTGTCAGCAGCTTGGGGGGAGACGACGGACGGGGTGGAGAGAGGAGGAGGAGGGGGAGGAGGAGGAGGAGGAGGAGGAGGAGGAGGAGGAGGAGGAGGAGGAGGAGGAGGGGGGCCCGACTCGAAGAGATCGATCGGTGTTAGAGGAGGTCTGGGGAGGGGAGATCGGGGCGGATGGGGTCAGGGGCAACGTCAGAAGGGGGATGGGTTCAGGGAGGGACGCGTCGACCCCCAATCGCCCATTGATCGCCGATAGGGGCCCGACAGCCCGCCCCGCCCAGGACCGTGCAATGACACTCTCGGGGGCCGGCTGCCGATCGATGGGCGATGCATCGCCGATGCCAGCTCGATGTTCCCCCCTTTGCGCTGGTCGCCCCATAACGTTATCCTTCAAGGGGGATGGAGAAGGGGGAACACCGGGGGAGGAGGGTGATTGGGAGGAGGACGGTCCATCAGGAGGGAGGTGGTAAGCTCTGCCTCCGCCCCAGATCCTGACCCCCATAGGCCTTTGTGGAGGCCCAAAGAAGCCAAGAGATTAAAAGCCGACCGAAAGCGACCGAACATGTCCCTCTTCGACCCTCGATGGTCCAGGGCAACATTCGAAAAAGAGAGGGAGGCACCCTGCCCTGGAGAACCCCCCCCCCCCATCCGCCGCGCCATGTGGCGACGGCGCTCAGCGAAGGGAGGGCGGCGAGGTCCACACGGCCTGGTCACGGGCCGCCCCCCGCGCGGTTCTCCGTGCGTCGGAGGTCTGCGGGGGCAGTGTGGGCTGGCGCGTGCAGGCATGGGGTGCACCTGGAGGAGCGCACGGCTCTCTCGAGGCCGAGGGCGCAAGCTCGGGGAACGGCCGCGAGAGGCCGCGCTGGGACAGGACGCCGCGCAGGTGCAGACAGCTGGCGCCCCCACCCCCTGCAGAGCCCGGGAGCGGGTCGGGCCCTGGAGGCCCCAGGACCCCCTGGACGCCCGGGGGGGCGGGCCCCAGAGCCGACCAGGCCGACCCCCCAGGGGCCAAGACACGAAGCCCCACGTGCCCTCCAGCTTGGGCGTTCGGGCATCGGCGGCGGCGGCTGCCCGCCCCCCTCGAGGCTTCAGGCCGCCGTCGGAGCCGCCGGTGGCCCGCTCGCCCTCCCCGCCGCGGCTGCCTCGGACGGCGCCCGCGGCCCCGCCCGAGGGTGGGGAGGATGCAGCCCTGACGACTGCGTTTAGCAGGTCCCTCCCGTTTGTCTCAAGCTGCTGCTGCTGCTGCTGCTGCTGCTGCTGCTGCTGCTGCTGCTGCTGCTGCTGCTGCTGATGATCGCTGTTGCTTGTGATCGAACACGGCGCCCTGAACTACAGGAACAAGTACAGCCGGACCGAGGCATAAGATCGAGTCGGTTCGAGGAGGGTACCCTAGTGTTCTTCGTGGTTGTTGGATGTTCATCCTGGGGAGGGTACCCTTGGATGTCCTGTGTGTGCTTGCCAGCGGAGGGTCT